TTTGTAATCCCCCTAAAAGGATCATTAGGATATCTATTTATAACCTTGGGCAGTTTCAACTTGGTGATAGTTAATTTTTAGGTTCATGCTTATCCAAAATGAATGGAGCTAATAAAAACATCTAAATATTGAAACTCGTGAAAAAACTAATTGGGCAAGTTCCATTAAATGGCCTACAATAACTACCGCAAACATCATATGCAAGAGTACAATATTGTTTGCATTCATATGTTGATTCTAATGGATGTGAGGAACAAACTTTCTTGTAACAAAGCAAGAGGAAATTTTTTAGAAGGATTGATGCCTCATCAATTAGATTAGTCAGAGTGGGAAAGATTCCCCAAAAGAAATTTATGGAATTGTTCCTCATTAAAAGAAGAGCATCTTGGCATGAATAGCACATGACGAAGTGGAAAGACCACAATAATTCCATGAAATTTTAAGAGTTTTTGAGTCATTATTGATAAACAAGGGAACATTTGTGGCAACAACAATCAATGGCATGCCCCAACAATATCATATATAAGATTCAACCTTAGTTTCATTTAAACGTTTCTATGCTTATTTGAGCCTAATTTGTTCAATTCAAGCATCCTAATAACTCACTAAACTTTTTGAGCCAATTTGGTGAGGTCTTGAATGGGTTATTTAAGCCAATTTATTTAGGACCTACAAAACCCATTTTAGACTTAGGCTAACTAGATTTCTGCTGGACATTGACAAGTCATCCATTAAGACCCATGTATACCAATTTATAATATGATAAACTTTTCTAATAAATACGAATATAGAAATTTGTTTAGTTACCCGTCTGGTCAAAATCAACTTGAATATGTTGATTCATATGTGAAATGCAGAAATGAGCTCAAATTTTATTTTGAATTATTCATACCTCAATTTGTTTTATTTTAATTTTGAGTAAATTGATGACAGATAGTCAAAGTTACAATTAACTTTTTACATGGTAAATGGATTCATGGGCTAACCCTCAAACCATTAGAGTTAACTCATTTAAGTCTATACCCATTAAAGCCATCTAGTAAAGGCTTTTAGCTAGCACATGGGTTTATGATCAACTCTACCAAGAATAAATTGAAAATTAGAATTCATAAAGTAAATCCTAAATAGATAAGGATGTAGCTAATTACAATTAGTTAAGATTAAAAGATATCTTCAGGGTTGTGATAAATACAGAAAAGTCAAATTTCAATCATAAAGAGAGATTATGAGAGATTAATGGGCATAAGAAAGTATGTCAATATTAGAAAACCAAATTGATTTTATTTTAATATAATTAATGAAAAAATATGAAGAACAAAGAGAGGATCTTCATCTAATTTTTAGTGGTCATATGAAGGCATGTAATCTAGTACAAAGAGAATTGATTTGGAGTGTATTAAGAAAAAAAATTTAAGATAAATATATGTTGAATTTATAAATAATTGTATTATAGAGCAATGGGCGTAAACAAGGAAAGCTTTGTTTGAGCTTCCTTAGCTTGAAATTCGATTAAAAACGAGTTCAAGCTAGCTTTTGAGTTTACTCATCCTTTTATGAAAGAGATAATAGAATGAGAATCTAGGGAATTTTGACTATGAGTATCTTCTTCAAATCTAATTTCACGATACTTTTTTGGATCAATCTATAATGCACTTCAATATTCTATTCAATATGCATTTTTATAAAACATGACTTCCTTAAAACTCCCACTTAATAATTTTAGAATGTTTTATTTCAATATTTCATCAATGTTTTCATTTGTAATGCATCTGACATAATAGAAATCTTTACATCTCTTATGTCTTGCATTAGCTATTTACAAGTGCCATTTTTTATTCCTATGTACTTAAATTGTCCCAAAATATAGCTTTAGATTTGCCAAAACTATTCATGTTGTAAAGTCAAACATTCTCTTGGAATTATTTAAAAAAAAAAACATGTTTTTCTTAAATTTCATTCTTACCTTCAACAAAAAGAAGCTTGTTTTTTATTTAATGGATGGAAAAGTAATTGCCATTCTCATTTTTTTAACGTATATATATGTTCCTAATTTCAAGGTCATTGTGTTGTGAAATCAAACATAACTTCATCCATCCCATTTAACATGCCATCAACTAACTAAGAATCCTCCCATGACCCTACGCAATCTAATGATATGTGCATTTAAGTCAAACACAATAAGTATCATCTCTTCCTTATATAAATGTTATAATAATTCATTCGCTTCTTCAAAAAAAAAAATTTGTACACATTCTTCTAACTCAAATTAAGGAGCGTAAAAACAAACAATATTTACTGTCCTCATAGATAATTAACTTCATAACAGACACCATAAAATTAACTCCAACTCAAACATTTTCTCTTTTAACTATCTATCTAATATTATTCCTACCCCATTTCCGATGTTAAAGTTTCAAACGTACAATGTATTATAGCATTCCCTAGTGCCCATAGATTTCTTGGCCGCTTGCATTTATTAGTCTAGAATAGAAGATGTTTGGAAATACATTGCCAATTTTCCTTGTAAGACATAATATAAGGGAAAAAACATTATATACAATTCCCTTAAAAGGAATTTCAAGAACTGGATAGTTTATTGAGCTGCATCGACTGAAACCAACTCAATTCTAGTCCATCCATGTATACTGAAGCACTAATGAATTTGTGTTCCATTAAATAGGATAGTAAGAAAAGAAATTGTTAGCCTTAAACAACCATCTTTGGGGGTTTTATCTCCATTCAAGTGGGAGCATATCTATCTTCACCACACACGTATTTGGAGTAGGTTTCAAGGATTTAAAACCATAATCATTGCTTATACCTAATGTCGTCAATCAATCATCACCATTCATATGACATGCTTGCACAAGTTGATCGCACTTCTTGTCAAGCACCGACAATAGCCAAGATATTTCATTTAAAACCGTTGCAGTTGAACTAATCAGTTTGCTAAGTGGGAAACCCCTTAAGTAAAAAGAGCTAAACTCTTAAACATTAAGATGCCTTTTGATGTAATGGTTGATATTTCATTTAAGAAACTCCACAGCTAAGTGTGCTTATCTCAAAGAGATCCTGGGATGGATGACCCACTGGAAAATTACACCAACAAAACAAAAATGTGAGGCTCTTAGGCCAAAACAGACAATAGCTTGATAGTTAAGAGTTTGGGATGTTACAAATGATATCAGAGCAATACACCAGCCGAAAGATAGGAACTAAGTGTCATACAAGAAAGTGCTAGGCCATGGGAGCCACCTCTTGAACCTTGTATGGGACAAAGTGCTATATGGCGGGAGTCACTACTTAAACTTGTACAAGTCACTTCTAGAATATCTGCCTGGTGGATGATTCTGGAATAAAAAAGCCAATGAGGACATCAGTTACTTAAGTAGAGGAGATTGTAAAACCCCTTAAGTAAAAAGAAGCTAAACTCTTAAAAATTGAGGCATCTTTTGGTGTAATAGTTGGAATTTCATTTAAGAAACTCTGCAGTTAAGCATGCTCATTCCAGAGAAATCCTGGGACGGGTGAACTCCTATGAAATTACACCAACAAGACAAATCATGAGGCCCTTAGGCCAAATCGTACAATATCTCGATAGTTAAGAGTTTTTTACTATTACACAATGTGCTCCAAATTCCTCTTTTATTCAACCAATTCTCCCCATGTATCCCTTATGTTCATTGTAACAATATCAGTCTTGTGTGCCATTGATTCTTGCTTTACAAAGATCGAAAGGGTAGACTTTGCGATGCTTCACGATACAGAGTAGGTGAAACCTACTGTGCTTTCTTGTAGAAAATGGAGTTCATGAAAGTAGCGTGATCTTAAATGGAGATCTAAGGTAGATCAACAAGAGATGAAGTCAAAGAAAGATCTTGAAGGCCATAGGTTTGAAGGTGGGATCTCTTTGCTAAAACAAGGTGAGGGTGGGCTTCGGCATTCATTTAAGGACTTGATTTCATGTGGAGAAATTAAGGATGGGAGAAAGATGCAAAGACCAATGATGCCCTAAGGCACAATCAAAAGAAGGCCAAGCGAGGCGAAATGGATTTTTTAGATTGAAGATAGGTTAGAGTTGTTTTTTGAACAACAAGGGATAATGTTGATGTTTCTTGGATGGAAGCTCTGCTCACCGAAGATTTGGAAAAGCGATGTGTAGAATCATAGTTCATCATCACCTCTGGGTATTTTTGAGCAGAGGAAAGTGAGTACATAAATAAAAACCTTAGCCAACAGCAGGTAGTATAAGGTGCAACAAGATTGGTAATGCATGTGAACTTTGCATAGTACTAGAATAGAGTACTTCTATTGATCGAATACAGCACAGTGGAGTGATGATGGTTGCAAAATACAAGAGAACCAATGTTGAGGTTCTTGACTCTCAAGAGCATTTCGAGCTGCTCTTGTTCGTGCTACTGAAAGAAGAAAGAAATAAGGAAGCTTTCTCACAACACTGTTCAAATGGGGAAACATTATTTATAGCTTGCAAAGCATTACAATCTATGCATTTATATCCAACTTGACAACTACATACATTCATCAATAGTTAAACCTTAAAAACTAACTAACTAACCCGACTAACAACAAGATCTAAGTTCACAACATCTGATATATCACTATGCATCAAATTCATCTGATATATCAAATCAATTGTCAAGGAAGATGCGTGACCTCGATGAAAAACATAAAAAAGGGGACGAAAGGTTAAGGCTATAGCACTAATTGCACCAAGAGAGTGAATGAGCAATCTAGCCTAATACCATACTTGTTTTAACGGCAGGCTGACTTCTCAACTTATCACAAATAGATAAATCTTCTTGTTTTACAAAATGAAAATCCTTGCAAATTCATATTGATTGCATTCGCCAGCACTTTGAGTTGATAAGCAAAAAAACCATGCAATGCGCTAAATGCCCGTAGCTGACTAATAGTAAACTAGGGCTTAAGGACTTAAAAGTAACGAAGAATTGGGCAATCTACGGAGGAAGATACCGCACCTCTTGCTTCCACGCAGGAAGGCTTCTGAGATTGCCTGCGCCAGCGATAGCCCTCCTCTTGCGAGCCGAGGTGTCCTCCTCCCGCGAGATTGGCGTCCCGTAGAAGACAAAATCCTCGTCGTCAGATGCCATCGATCTCTGTAATACGATATCTCAGTGGGAACCCGCAAGTCTCACGAACACATCTTCTTCTTCACCCCGCTGGTCCCGTCGATGCCTCCCGCCACGACTTCCACAGGGTTTCGGTAATTTTCGAGGCGGGTAATTGGGGCAAAGATACGAGCTTTTGCTTTCTTCCTTTTTCTTAAATGATGTTTTAGAAGTTCGTTTTAAATAAAATAAACTCATTTTAAGGGCAAATTATTGGGTCAGGTGATCGAAGTCATCTCTGCGTTCGGTCGCCAATAGAAATGCCACATCTGTTAGGCGTTTTTTTAATTTAATATGTTTGCTTTATGCCTTGTCAGAGTGAGCGACCTGACCCGATAACGCATTTCATTTGAATTCCAGAAAATAAAGAATGGAAACGCCGCGTATTTTATTTTCAAGCGACATTTTCACTGTTACTCCACCTCTGGTAAGCGCTCTCGGATTCCTCCAATACCTTCGATTTTGCAGTAGCTTATTCCCGCCGGAGGTAGACTACGAGATTGTAGAAGATCATCAATCAGGAAGAGGTATGGTTGCGCCTAACTTGCGCTTTCGTTGCGTTTAAGTTATATGTTAAATTTTAGGGTTTAGTTTAGTTATAATTTTATCATTGTTTGTTTAATGTAATGTACTGTTCAAATATTTATTTTCTGATTTTTCACACTTCTTCTCTTCGTAAATGGATGAAACAAATGATACGAAAAGTTTACGCTTTCTGCTAAATTTTAGGGTTTAGTAATAATTGTATAACTAGCATATATGTTCAATGTGGTGTTCAATTTTTTTTTTCTGAATTTAAACCTTCTTTTAAGCTAAATAATAACGAAATGTATAATTGCGCTAAGGTTGCGCTATGGTTGCGCTTTAGTTTTGGTAGCGATATAGTTCTGATTTTTTTTATTGTTATAGATGAGGACGCCGTATCAAAGGCCAGTAACATCTAGATGTTATGTTACTTCTTTTCGGAAACATTGTGATGCTTTTGTCGAGATAATTGATGATGAAGTAGAGCAAACATTAAAGAATCTGAACATTCATCAATTTTTGAAGTTCCCCACATTCCAGCAGTGTATATCACTTCTTTTTGAGGTTCTCAAATTTTGGAGTCCTGCTGATGAAGGCTTCATCGTCCCTGGTCATCTACTGAAATTCACTTCTGACGAGGTTGCCTTGTTGATAGGTAATATTTTGAATGTGGAATTTTTTATAGGGTTATGTTTTTTAAACTTTAACAACTCAAATTTTCTGACAGGTTTGCCTAACAGAGGCATTGATATCAAATGGAGGATTGATCTTCTAAATGGACCTCTATCAAGTGAAATTAAAATAGAAATGTCAAAATTAGACAGATTATCTGATAATGCTACAAAAATAAAGACCTTTATTATGTTTTTGTTATCTAACATTGTTTTCCTCTAAACAACCATAAAATCCCTAGAAAGCTCACATTTGTTGCAAATAATTTAAGTGAGTTCACTTCCATTAATTGGGCTTCATGCTTAAGGAACTTCATGGTCGGGGAGTTCAACACAATTTTTGAGAAGTTTCAAATGCAAAGACCATTGGGTTACATCAATGGTTTTTTTCATCTTCTGCTGGTAAGTTTCCACTCATACTGGTTATTCTCCATGTATAATGCTTTTTAATGTTAACTTTTAATTTTTTATGTTTGGCATTATACAGATTTAGTTTTTGAAACATTTTTCTTTGAATAAACCATCCGATCCAGAAATAAGACAGCGTTTTCTGAGATGGGAGGGGTATACAGAATTATACTTTACTAAAGAGAATGCAGCAAAATTATTTAAATTTTTTAAAAAAAGTGAGGTAATTTTTTCGTGTACATGATGCAAATTATGCTAAGGTTGCGCTAAGGTTGTGCTAATATTGCGCTAAGGTTGCGCTTTAATAAATTAATACGTTTTCTTTTTTTGCAGATTTATATTTGTCTTGAGAATGTTAGCCAATGAAGAGGCCGAAAAACACGGTGCTGACATTAATGTCATACAAAACTTGGAAACCCGGGCAGGGCATGAACCACAGAAATTGAAGTCACCCCAGAAAATTAAGTCATCCGCAAGGAAAAAACTTGACACCACCCCACCTCCCTCCCCCCCTCTCTCTCCCCCTGATTCTCCTCATAAAGAACCACCAGAAAGTTCACCTCTGCCGCCAACTCAACCTTCTACTCGTCCACCTACTGAAAAAATTTACACCACTCAACCTTCTGCTGAACAGCCTCCTATTGGAATGGCAGATTTAGAGGCTGTTCAGAAAAAATGTTTTGAAATATTTGAGAAGATGTTGAATAAAATTTAAGAAAATCTGGGAGCTAGATTGGATTGTGTTGAAGATATTGTGGAGAAACTTAAGGCAGATCAAGACTCCCTGAAGTACAAATTTATTGAATTTTAAATGAATTGTGATCACAATCCAAAGAAGTCCCATATATCTAGTTCTTCCTCCAGCTTCCAATCAGTGAAAAATACAGCTTTGCATCCTTCAGAACAACCTAAAGAAGATGTTCCTCCACCTCCACCATTGGCCAAAGAACTTCTTCCACAACCACCAATACAAGATGTTCCTTCACCTCTACCATTGGCCAAAGAACTTCTTCCACAACCACCAATACAAGATGTTCCTCCACCACAACCATCGACCAAAGAAGATGTGCCACTACCAAAAGATAGTTCATCAAAGCATATGATTCAAAAAAGAAAAAGAGAAGATGATGAAAAAGCAGAGAGTTTATCAAAACACATCATACCATATGTAAAAAAGAAGAACAAAGAGGTTATCTCTGTTGAAAATATAATAATTGAGCCACGACCTGCATTGGAAATTATGGATTATCCAGGGAAGCCTTTTCTAACAGAGCAGCAACAACAATTTATGAATGAATGTTTCATAAAATTTAATAAAAAGTAAGTTTAGTTGCGTTGTACTTGCGCTAAGGTTGCGCTATAGTTGCGCTATGGTTGTGATATGGTTGCGCTATAGTTGCGTTATGCTTGCCCTTTTCTTGTGCTATGGTTGCGCTAAGGTTGCGCTTTAACATTATATTTTTCTTTGTTTTTGTAGGGATGACTTAATATTTACTTCTGGAAACATAGAAATAAAAAGATCAGATATTGACTTTCTGCTCACAAATGATTGGTTGGAAGATAACCATATTGATGCTTTTGCTTTCTTTTTACTAGAGCAGAGTAGGATAATGACAGACAAATTTTAACGTTACTTGTACGTTTCTCCATTGTACAGGGTAAGTATAAATAATATTTTAATCTTTTTTTCACGTTTGTTTTTTCTTATAGAACTGAATTATTGTAGGTATACAAGTCATTCAATCAGGATTATCAAATTTTTATCCAACACATTGATCCAGTTTCAGTTAAAGAAAGCAAACTTATTGTTCAACCCATAATTTTCAAAAAGCATTGAGTTCTTCTTATAGAAAAATTGAGGGAGAAAGTCTGGAAAATGTATGATTCCTTACCAAATCCTGAACACAAGAATATTTGTTATACAGTTGTAAGTGAAATTCATATTTTGAGTTAAATCCAGATAACTATATTTTCATACCTAATATACTTATAAAATGTTTTATTTGTACAGATAAAGTATTTGCATGAGGACACCGAAGGCTGCTTTCCAAGCGACATAACGAAATGGAACTTACAGGTGGTTCGTGAACTTCCAACTCAATCAAACAATTACGATTGTGGAATGTTCGTTTGTAAATACATGAAGAAAGCCGTGCAATAAAAGAAAATAGACTGGATTGCTTATAAAGATTGGCAAACGCATATGCCAAAATTTAGGGCAGAGTTAGCATATTTTCTTTTTCTTCAAACAAAAAAGTAAACAATCTGTAACTTATTATAAATATTGTCCATGAATATATAGATGTTACATTTATGATGTTACTTATATAGTCTTTTTGTTGTATAAAATGTTGATAATCTTAACTCTAACAAACAGCGATAAACCATATCTTGTTTAATCTCTACACTTGAGCATATTCTGAAAATCGAACATTCTAGCGGCAACCAATAGCGTAAGATAATGCGTCAACCTTAGCCAGAACCTTGCGCAACCATAGGAAAAAAACAACTTAGCGCAGCCTTAGAATATACTATACAATTTGTAATTATAGCTTAAAGAAGCGTTAAATTCAAAAAAAAACATATATTATTCATTACACTCAATGGCTTTAGAATGAAAGCAGATTCATATTAAAAATTTTATTAAACCAATAAATGAAAATCATTTAACTCCAAAATATATATGATTACCGTTTGCAAATTCATTAAATTCACAACTCTGAAAGATAAGAAAATCATATCATCAACTTGAGTGTATCAGTCTCCAGGTTGGCTGATTGGTATGACCGGTTATATATTCCTACTGAAACATTCAGGCTGCTTGAAAGTTATCTGTGTTGAAGAAGGTTTCATCCATTGGGTTATCCCCACCAAGGTTTCTTATCTGTAATGCTATACTGAGTTTAGTTCAAGGATAAGATCATTAATAATTAAAATGTTATTATATCAAACTTATCTTTTAGGCTGTTCTCTTCTTCTTCCCATTCGGCTTTTCGTCTGCATTTGATATCATGGTCTACCACTTTATTAGGATCTTTTCAAATTATCTGTCCCACCTTTGGAACTTAGCAACATCTTCTGATTTTCTTTGTCTTTGCCACCAAGAATTTAGTTATAATCTTTGTATCACAATGTCTTGCAATGAGGAAATCAATAAAAACTCTTCTGGCTCCTATTACCTTGGTAGCTTCTGATGCTCAATTGATATGCAAACCTGTTCGACTGATTTCTGAATATGAATCCTCCCACCATTTTGGAAATTATACTTTCTTTGAGACATAAGCAAGTAAATCCTGATAAAAAAATGTACGAGCCCTTGCTGACCAACGAAGTAATAAGTACTTCTCAGAGAATTAGTATTATTCAACTGTTTAAAAAACCCTCAAAACAATGAGAACACTAACAATCCCCATGGTTCATACTTCTACATGCTGCATTGCAATGGTTTACCTTCTTGCATCTAAAGTATAACAACCCTAAGCACTGGTTTTGTTCTTTTATCTTTCTATGTATTTGACTTAGAAACTTTGAAGAATCAAGTCGA